GGGCAGGATCCCCGCAGGAAGCAGCTTCCAGCCAGGACTCCCTGCAAGTCCGGGCCCAGGTGCTCAGAACTCAGCGGCGTTGAGACAATTCACTGACCCTGTGTCCTGACCTGTGAAAGGAAGAGAACAACACTGCTTGTTGGGACGGAAAGAGCACTGAGGACAGTAAACACTACCAAGATAAGAGCCATAGATAGAGAGGGTATTTGGAGCGGACAGTCACAATAACAGCTAACATCTACTGACCCTACTGTGTGCTGGGTGTTGAGCTGAGGGCTCTATTTAACTCAGCCAGTCACCTCAGCCGACTTTTGAAGCTGTGTCCCTGTTTCTCACACGAGGAACCCGGCACTGAGGGTTAGGGACTTGTCCAGGTCACCCTACGAGTAGGTAGCGGAGGCGGGATTCAAACTCAGGCACTCTGATGTTCAAAGCCAAACTCTTATCAGCTGCTTTCAGTTTAGCAGTTTTTATAAAGCAGGCGTGCTTCTCTGTGGCATGGATTGTTAACCTGGGAAACGCCATTTGTGAAGGTTTTGCAAGAAGGAGACATTTCAAAATGAGGACCAGCAGAAGAGGTTGGTCCAGCCCCAGAGCAGAGCAGAGCCTGCTGGGAGGTTCCCGGGTGTGTGCCCAGCAGGAAAAGCAAAATTCCAGCCTCGGCCACCTGCCTGCTGGCTCCCTCTGCCTCCCCCTGCCCGGGTATCTTCTGCCTTCTGCCCACTGTCCATTTCCTTCCAGACACGCACCTAAGGGCCCAGTCAGAAAGTGTGGGGCGTTGAGCCGCCCCGAGGAGCTAGCAGAAAGTGAGTCATAGCTCTCTGCCTTTACCTCCCCTGCGTCACCCCAGCTGCCCTCCATCCTAACCTCAGAGAATCTGTCCTGACAACCAACCGCACCAGCTCCTGCAGAGGCCTGCAGCGCCCAGCCCCAGACACTCCCTTCACAGACAGAGGGGGGCACCCTGCTCTGAGCCAGGCCCTGGGTGGGAAGGAAGACCATGCATGCTTGAGAGAGACGCTGTGGAACAGTGACCCCAGTGGGCAGTGCAAAGAATGCTGGGAAGGGAGTCCGGGGAGTACCCAGGGGGCTCTGCACAAGTTGCCTGGGGCAAACAATAGGCTCCATAGGGGAAGTGACTTTCTCATCTTCAAACTGGGGCAGGCGCTCAGGAGGTGTCCTGGTGGAGAGGGACGCAGGTTAAGGTATGCAGGTGTGAGAGCGGGAGGTGCTGACGGCGCAGCTCAGGATGGCTTGAGAGAGGCTGCCGGTGGTGGTGATGGCTGTAGACTCGTCTGCCTGGGTTTGAATCTCAGTGCCTCTACTCATACCTGTGTGACTTTGGGCAAGTTCCATGACCTCTCTGTGCCTCATACCCCTTTGGGTACAATGCGGGTAATAGCATCTCACAAAGTGGCAAAGCTCCAATGAGTTCATGCATTTAAATGCTGGGAACAGTGCCTGACTCAAAAACTGGGAGCTGTGAATATAGTTCTTGTTGTCTGTGAGCCTGTGGGGCAGAGGACCCTAAGGCTCCGTGAATTATCAACAGCACCAGCAGGGGTCCTCTGTGCTGTCCATGCCACCCCTGCCACCGCACGCTCGGGCCCTGGGAGGCACCAGGGATCCAGCAGGCAGCAAACTGCCTCCTGCTGAGGTCGGAGAGTTGGAGAGAGCCCGAGCAGCAACAGGAGGGGCCTTCACTGAGTGGCTACCGGTGTGCTGACGCTGAGGCCTCGGAGGGAAAGGGTATAGAAGGGCTGCTTCGTGCGCTCTCCTCCCAGCTTCTCACCAAGGGGTTCTGAATGTGGCTGGAGAAGGACCCCAGGCACTCCCTCCGCAGCCGGGCCCAGTCTGAGCTCACCCAGCAGCTCCGGAGCCGGTCCCGGGGACAGGATGGAAGCGCTGTACCTCCAGGACAGGTCTGCACTCCCCGGGTTTCTCAGGGCAGGCGCCCAGCCATGGCGTGGAAGGGCAAGGCTGGGTGCGCAGAACTGGAGGAGGGGCGTGGGGGAGGGATGCAGTGAATGGGAGCACAACGTGGCCGTGTCGTCCAAGGAACAGAAAGGCCTGGCCGGAAACGGACCGGCCCAGCGCCCCAGACCACCCCCGCCAGGCGCCAAGGACGCAGCGCCCACCTGCTTGCTGCGCCGGCCGTAGGAGGGGCGCGGTCTACGGGCGGCCGG